GGTGTGGACACTTCCACTTAGAAACACTATGCGCACTTTTCTCTCTAACCCCCAGAAAGAAAATAGATACCTTGCTCTTAATAGCCCACGTTATAAGGACTACTTCAGAATCACCATCCAGAATGCATCGCAGGGAAACTTCCCACTCTTTAGTTAGGCTTTCCAAAAATAGTCGAAGCTGTGTGTGAACGGGGCCTCATCTGTCCACCCACAGGAGAAGATGTAAGACCTTGGCATGCTGAAGAATGTTGTATTTACGTGTTAGGATGAAAAGGAAAGAGACAAAGGAAGGGAGAACCAAATACAAGAATGAAGCCAGGCACGGTGGTATGTACTTGTGACCCTGGGAGGCTGAGGCAGGAGAATTGCAAGTTTGAACCCCACCTGGGCAAATTAGTCACTTAGTGAGATGCTGTCTCAATGAATGAATGAATGAATGAATGAATGAATGAATGAATGAATGAGTTATTAATGTATTGGTGCCAAGATGAGTACAAGGTTATTAAAAGTTTAGACTCTTGCTGGCATCTGACCTTGGGTGGTCACAGTTCTGAGTGTGGCTTCTCCTCATTTGCCACAGGCACATGAAGATTCATTCTGTCATTAAGAGGGAGCCATCTAGGACGGGGTCCCAAGTGCCCCATGCCCAATGCTGTGCCACACGTGTGGATATGCTTTTCACACATTTCCATAGTCTCACCTGTAACATCTGTTCCCTTGTACTTACTGCACTAGCTCAGTGTAGGAGGAACATTGCCCAGCTTCCTACCTTTCTGTCTCCAAATTTAAGGATCCATTTCTTGCATGTAGATGACATTAATCATCCTTTCAGTGTTCTAGTTATAATGCATTGGGCTGCAAGTAACAGAAAACCTACCACAGTGCTTCAGCCAACAGGGTTTTTTTGTTTTTTTAATGCAAAAGACAAGTCCTGAGATGAATGTTGCCAGCACTGGATCTATAACCTTTACCTGAGAGTCGTGTTGTTGCTTGTAGGTCTCTTTCCTTAGCCTTTCCCTTGTGGTGCTAAGACGGCTTCTCGGGCTCTGTTCACCATATCTGATTCATGGCGACGGGGAGGAGGCAGGAGGGTGGTGCCCCACACTTTCCAGGAAGACTTCTTAAGTCTTTCCATGGTAGACCTGGGTCCCTAGCCCATTCCTCCCCAAAATAAAGAGGCTTCTGTGACTGGCTTGGACCAGGTCTCATTTTCCATCACCTAGGAAATTTTATGCTGCAGACAAATTTGAGATTCTCCTAAGCTAAGTAAAGAAGAGAGAGGATTCTTTTCCTTTTCTTTTTTTCTTCTTCTTCTTCTTCTTCTTCTTCTTCTTCTTCTTCTTCTTCTTCTTCTTCTTCTTCTTCTTCTTCTTCTAGACATTCTTGCTTTAGTAGTTCTGGCTGGCCTTGAACATTAAGAAATCCTCCTGCCTCAGCTTCCCAGGTGCTGAAATTACAGGCACACACTACCATGCTCTGCAAAAAAAGGGGAATTTGAAATAGAAAGCAGTGTCTGTGGCCAGGGCCAAAAGAAGGCATACATAAAAGCAAGCACTGGTTGCCTTATTTTCCATGACAATGATAATGATTAAAATTATACTACCAAAAACTGCAGAAAATGACCTTAATAAATGAAGGCTTGAAAATTTGGCAGCATATTTCAGCAATGTTTGATCCATGAATTTCATTTACAGGAATGTGTTCTATAGAAATTATTATAACTGAGTACAAAGATTTAGCTACAAGGATTTTCTTTGCCGCATCATGTATGAGAATGGGGGGGAAAAAGAGAAGGAGAGAAGAAGGGGAAGAGGCAAGAGACGGCTGGAGGGCTGGTTGGAATAATGTGGGGAGGGAAGAAAGAGGAAGGAAGGAATCTCAGTGGCCCACAACAGGAAATTATTTAAATAACTCAAGTGTATTTTTCAGTATATTCCTAATTGTGCAGTAACTAAGATAATGCAGTAGAAGGTGGTATAACTGCTTAGAAGTGTTGCCGTACTGTAAATTTCAAAAGAGGTTATAAAATGACATATGGGATGTCATTCTGTTTGTTAAAGAAAATACATGGGATGGGTACATCTACCCAGATAGAAAGATTGCTTCAGGTTATGTGGTTAGTGCTTATCTCTGGGTGTTAGGAGTTTAAAAAAAATTTTTTTTTTTTCTAAACTGTTTTTGAAGTTTACAAGTATGGAGGCTTTTTTCTTTATTTTTTTGTTTTTGGTCCCAAGGACCAAACCCAGGGCTTCCAGCTTGCCAGGCAAGCATTCTACTGCTGAGCCAAATCCCCAGCCCTTTTTTCAATCATCAGGGAAATGTTAAACAGCTTGAGACTCGTAAGGCTTTTCCACAAAGGACAGTCCGGTGGCACCTGGCCCCAGTTCTCCTCACAGGGCTGTGAAGGCAGCTCTCTCCTTTTGTTCTGCAGGCTCTCCGGGGTTACTTCCGGTTTTTCATTACTGTGGGAAATGCTAGGATTATGATTGTTATATTGAAAGTCTTTTTTTTTATGTTCTCCTTTATTTTCACAGAATAGTTTCCCAAAAGCAATATCACTGAGTCAGTAGGTATAAAGGTTTTTTTTCTGCTCATGATTCGCATTTCCAAATTGCTTCTCAGTAGGCCTGTACCAAAACACAGCGCTACCAGAAGGATCTTGCCAGCGCTGGGGTTTGTAATTGTATTTAGTGTTTGCTAATTTAGCAGGCAAAGAATAGCACCTCATTATTTCAATTTGCATTTCCAGCGAGGCTGAACAACCTTTTCTGTAAGTTGTTTAGTTATTTTATTTTTAATTCATAGATTTTGCCATTTATTTGTTGGCGTTTTCATATTTTCCTTTTCATCTTATGCAAGCTCTTTCTATAGTAAAAACAATAGACCTTTGTAGCTATAGCTGTTTCTCCCAGGCTGTAGTTTTCCTTAGTCTCCCCCCACCCATTTTATATTCAAAAGTTTTAAATTATGTACCCATGCCTGTCACTTTTGTGATTTTTTTTTAGTTGTTTCTTCCAAGTTTAGAAAATTACCATTTACCTCATAAGCAGAAGTTTGATAAATGTTCGATTCTGTTTTTGCATCCAGATTTTTAAACATTAAGCTTTGTTTTATACTTCCCTCTTAAACTTGTTAGTAACATATTGTGCCAGAAGTTGTTGGTAGGGATTTAAATGTATCCCCCCCATTTACTAAAGCGAAATTGTATGTGGAGTAATCTCCCTCATTAATTTAGGACTTTTTGGTCGTAGCTGATTTTTCTCTAACTGGCCAAGCCCATTTCTCACCGACTTGTTCTGTTCCATGGTGAGTCGGCTGTAACGTGTCATTTTCAATCATGTATTTGATAGAGCTTTTCCTATTTCATGAAGTTCTAAGCTCGTTTTCTGGGGTTCTCATCTTGGTTTGTACCTACTTGGATATAAACAACACCCTCTTACAGACTCAGGCTCCTCCGCAGGTGGGAGCCAGGTCTCCTTCCGCAGCGAATCCGATTTCCTGTAGCTGTTTTCTGCCAGGTGTGTGAAGGGGTGTGGGCTCAGCCTTGGAGCCGTTCAAGACTTGATGTTTTCACCGAGGGAGCCCCCAGAAGGGGGGGGGCTTCGTCAATCCCTGGTGAGTCCCATGCGTTTAAGCACAGGTAATACCATGTTCCACTGACAGCTCTGAGGAGTTAAGCGTGCAGCCCCGTGGCTGTGGCTGTATTAATGGGCCCTGTAGAAGCAGCGCCGGTGAAAGGGCGAAGCTGCCCTTCTCTGCCTAGACCAGCAATAGCAATCCTTTCGGAGCTTGCAGTGATCGCAAACTGTGGTACACAGGCCATAGGTTCGTCACCACTGCCCTAGACCATGGCACAGCAGGGCTCCCCAGCACCTGTTACTTGTCAGGGTTTCCTGAGCAGACTGCTGCCGCTGGTGTTGTGAAGACCCTCACGGGAGAGCCGGTGCTCAGAGCCAAGGGAGTCCTCAGCAGGCCCTCAGGATTTTCAGCAGCCCTGCAGCCCACTAGCTCTTTTGGCTTCTGAACCATCATGTTTGAGCTCCCCCTTGCTTTGTAATATGGGCACTGCCTATTAGCATTGCCTGTTCTCTGTTCAGCATATTTGCTAATTAAAGTCCTTCGTCTTGTTGGTGAATGGGAGCCAGTAATTAATATGATTGCCCTGAGATTTTAAAGTAAGTTTTGTTATTAAAACATTAAAAAGCAGAAGGCATGGAATAATGAGCGCCTCGTATATATTTGCCTAGATTTTGAGCTATTGACATTAACATATTAAATCCCTTTTATTGTTGTTGAAATATGTTATAGCAGATTGAATGTCGATCAGGTATCTAATCATAAACCACATGGTGCATTTTACTGTTTTTGTGTCTTAACCTAGAACACTCTCCAAATTTGGGGGTATTTCTCTTTTTCATGGCATTGACTTATAAGCATTTGGTACTGGAAATTTGAAACTGGGAATTGATGCGAGAGAGCCATGTGCCTCCCTCTTTTAACAACATACTAACAGGGCTTGTGAGGTTTTTTGCAGTTTTTTTTTCTGGGATGGAGTTATATTTCTTCTAATGCTATTATTTATTAATTTATTTATTTATTTTTATTTTTGGCGGAACCAGGGATTGAACTCAGTCCCTTGCACTTGTTAGGGTTTCCCGAGAGGAAGCGGAAGCGTTTATTCTACTGAGCCATCTCCCTGGCCCTCTTCTATTGCTTTTGTATTAGTTACTGTTAACCTGGAGGGTTTTATTTGTTTTTAATATATCATCATCAAGCCAGCTTCTGTCATTTAAGATTTACTCAAACCTTGTCTTGGCCAGTAGTATTTATTGGGGGAAAAAAAGCTTATTTGTATTTGTTTCTTTTTAATCTCAAAATTCTTCTGTATTTACATGAAATTTATTGGGTTAAAATTGGATACAAAATACTAAAGATAGGCTCTGACTAGTAGCCATGAATAAAATTACTATCGGTTCTTAATAACTGTTCTTCATGTTCAGTTTGCAGAGAAATTTCAGGAGGTCAAGGAAGCTGCCAAACTCGCCAGAGAAAAGTCCCAGGAGAAAATTGAGACCTCAAGTAATCATTCCCAGGTAGGTAATTTGTCCACCAAATAAACTCAGTGTGATCAGTGATGGAGATGCCTCATTCCTTGTCACTCCTGGCAAGAAGCAAGAGGAGTTGAGCAGTAGGCATTTTGAAGGCCTTTTCCACTATTAGCCTGCTCACAGTGAGATAGATGTGACATATTCTTATGAGGCACTTGAATTTTTCAAGATGCGGTACTGTATTTTTTGACAGAAAATGGTTGATGGAATTAGAGTTAATGCGGGTTCCCTGCCCTTGAGCTACATTCTGTGGCCGCTGTTCACAGGAAGAGGGGAGGCAGAGCGCTTCCTTGCTGTGCGGTCCCCTCCCTCCCCTAGGAGGCTCAGCAGCAGGGGTCCTGTGCCCATTAGAGAGGCAATTTGGTACTGGAGAGCCCTGTCTCTCTCCCTCTTTTAACAAAATTCAGGCAGGAGATGCTGTTCCTCAGCTATGTCTCAGCCACAGAGAGCTGTCCATGCCAGTAATTGAGTGGTCTGTGTGAAGATGGACTAAAATGGACCCATTTCAGCCTGACATAAAATACCAGCATTCTTGGCATCTACGTTGTATACAGAGTGGCAAAGAAAGGCTGGGCAGAGAGAGATTCAGGGGAAGGGAAACTTCAGGACCAGCATGATGGCCAGGCTGGACAGGACATGCGGATGTGCCCGGGAGATTGTGAGACCTGCCATTCCTCAGGAATTATTATTTGCTAGTGCTTTGGTTGTGCCCAGTAGTGCGTGTACATTGCAGGTATCCATGATCATTGACCAGGAATGGCATGAGGGTCACAGACACTGATGAGGCAGGTAGCGAGTGACCCCATGGACGTGTGTAGGAGACAGGGGCAGCCACAGTTCAAACAAGGAAGGGCTGGACATCAGGGACAGCACTGATGGCAAAAAGCCGGAGGCCTGGGTGTCCCGAGCTGCCGGGCTCCACTGTAGTCCACTGTCAGCCTCCCAGGGCAAGAGGAGAGCAGGAGCCAGAGCCTGGGAAGGGAGGAATCAGCAAAGAAGGCAGAGAAGTTCTAGCATCACTGCCTCCCAGGTATGGGCAGCCTCAGCGTTTGGCACCCAGAGGAGGGCAGGGAGCACCTCAGGCCCTGGCTCTGCTAGAGACTTGGCAGCTTAGGCTATTAGGTCATATACATATGACCTACCAGCAGTGAGTAAAGGTTTTTCTTCCCACACCATCACTAAGAAAGCTTCGGTGATTTGACAAATGAAAATACATCTTTTATTTATTTTCTAGAATATAATATTGGGCCTTTGCCCTGCACTACACTGCCAGCCCTTCATTTCAAGACAGAATCTAGCTAAGTTGCCCAGGGTGGGCTCAAACTTGCAATCCTTGTGCCTCAGGCTCCCAGAGTGGTAGGAGCACAAGTTTGTTCATGAGTAGGTGAAGTCTTGAGTTTTGTTCCCAGCAG